ACACACACACACACACACACACACGAGCCACTTTAAAAAAAAATCTTGAATATGTTGAAGGCTTCGTAAGTGGTGGACAGACTTCAATACCTAAACATTAAGTATGAAATGCTCACAGAATTTGACAGGGGCGGAATTATTTGAAATGCAAGGCTCTAAGTTGATAGGGCATTTATGGCAGATCAAATTACTGATGATTCACAGAGATGTGTGGAAATATTTCACGAGCCTGAGTGAGGTATCTACGTGTATGGAGTTAGATTAAGAACATTGTGGTGGACAACTCCATGCGGCGTTTCAAGGATGACTCTGATAGAAACCAAAGAGGCCGTGAACCAGTAATTCAGGTGCCTGTTATTTGAGAGTGGGGACCAAGAGCTGAGACTGAACCCCTACACGCACAAGTGGGCGGACACATTCCTCGTGGCCCTGGTAATGAGTCAGGCTATACCTTAGTGAGGACAGGATGGTTGACCAACCAGCCGAATGAGATTGGCATTGTTGCACTCACTGTTCTGACGGTGAGTGCCAGTTACTGTCTACAGTGTCTGCCAGTGTCTTCAGTGTTCCAGTGACACTCTACAGTGTCTGCCAGTGTCTTCAGTGTCCCAGTGACACTCTACAGTGTTTGCCAGTGACAGTCTGTAGTATCTACTAGTGACGGTATACAATGTATATAGGTAAAGTCTATATTGTGTGTCAGTGAAAGTTAATATCTAACAGTGACAATCTAAAATGTATGCAAGTGACATAAAATGGAGACGGCTTTTCAAAGAGAGAGAGAGAGAGAGAGAGAGAGAGAGAGAGAGAGAGAGAGAATGTTAAACTGAAAGAGAGATAGCTAGACCCATTAGTAAAGTTACAACATCTCCACTATGTCTATAAAGAGACTTGCTAGCGTCAGGTCCATTAAAATAACAGCAAGGGTATCATTGGAGCCAAACTAGCACTAGGATATAATGATGGCCCAGCAGGAGAGTTGCCTCACAACCTCGGAGACACATAAATTGAACCATTGCGGTTCCTACTCCCTCGGCTGCGTATTGTTTGAAATTGAGGGACCTTGGATGCTTCCACTCAGTGAGCACAAATTTTTATTCATCTCGTAAGTGAAGGCGATGATAAAGTTTTGTCCTTGAGGTCTCAGTTTCGTGTCCTGGGAAGTAAAAGTTTTTACTGTGTTCCTTCAAAATTCTACACAATTTTAGCCACTGAATTTTAAAGACTATAATATTTTTTGCTCTTGTTATTGCAACGTCATTCGCCATTTTCTCTTTCGCGAATTATAGAACTAACTCGTCGAAGCATTCAACAGCAGTTATATAGTACTTGAAAACACGACTGGAAATTCGTAAGTATATAAGGAACGCTTTTCAAAATGTGACCCGGGCCGGGAGAATACCGGCGAATAAAAAAAAAAAATGTGAATAATAACATGGGAGACACAAACGCTGGATATGATGATCCGCGTATTTAAATCGCTAACTAAATATAATTTTAAGAACATAAAAGAGAAGAAACACTGCAGCCGGCCTACTGGACCATGCGAGGCAAGTCCAACTATCCCACCGGCTTAAGCAAATGAACCAACCTAGTCGTGTCAGGTCACATCCCCTTAAGGAAGGAGCACGGCAGCAGACGTATTAGCACAAGCTAATCAGGTCCAACTCACACTCACCCACATTCACTCATGTATTTAACTAACCTATTTCTAAAACTAAACAATGTTTTAGCGTCTATGATGGTTTTCGGGAGTTTGTTCCACTCATCCACAACTCTACTAATAAACCAGTGGTTTCCTATATCCTTCCTGAATCCGATTTTTTCCAACTTAAAACCAGTTCTGTGAGTCCTGTCTTTGTTAGATACTTTTTAGCACACTATTTGCAATCCCTTTATTTATTCCTGTTTTCCATTTATACACCTCAGTCATGTACCCCCTAATTCTACGCCTTTCTAGAGAGTGCAGATTCAGGGCCCTCAGAGGAAAGATTTCTGATACATGGGATCAACTTTGTCAACCTTCTTTATATGTTTTCTAGGGCATTTATTTCCATTCTGTAATACGGTGACCAAAACTGTGCAGCATAATCTAGATGAGGCTAACCAAAGATATATAGAGTTGAAGAACTACCTGAGGACTCCTATTATTTATGCTCCTTGATATGAAGCCAAGGATTCTGTTCCCTTTATTGAGAACACTTATGCACTGTTGTCTTGGTTTCAGATTGCTGCTAACCAGAACTCCCAAATCCTTTTCGCAATCAGTAATATTAAAATCTACATTATTTAGTTTATATATGGCATGTTTATTTTCCTATCCAGTGTATAGAACTTTGCATATGTCTATTTTAAACTTCGACCACTGCATCAGTCTATTCAAATCTTCCTGGAGTGCTCTAATGTCCTCCTCAGAATGAATTCGACGGCCTATTTTAGTGTCATCGGTAAACTTGCTTAATTAAGTCGCTATTTATTCCCTCATCTATGTCGTTTATGCAGATTGTGTACAACAAGGGGGCCAACACTGACCCATGTGAAACACCGCTTGTGACGCTTCCCCACTCTGATTTCTCCCCATTTATGCAAACTCTCTGCTGCCTGTCTGTCAACCATGCCTCTATCCAGGAAAATTTCTCCTATTCCGTGTGCCTTAACTTTCCTCAATAGTCTCTGATGTGGTCCATATATAATATATGGACTTCTGATGAAGTCCATATACACAATATCATATTCATTACCATGATCTATCTCCTAAATACCTTAGTGAAAAAAGATAATAAATTCGTAAGGCAGGAACGCCATTTTGTAAAACCGTGCTGAGATTCATTAATCAATTTATGCCTTTCAAGATGGCTACGAATTGCCTCAGCAATTATTGATTCCATAAATTTTCCCACTATGGAGGTCTAAAGTTCGAAGCTAAGGACCTGTCACCTGCTTTGAAAATAGGCATCACATTTCCATTTTCCACTTATCTGGCACTATGCCAGCTTGAAGTGATATATTGAAAAGATTAGCCAAAGGTTTGCTAAGCTCGTCTTTACATTCCCTTAGAACCCTTGCATACATTTCATCAGGGCCTGGGGATTTGTTAGGTTTTAATTTATCTATTTGTCTAAGGACCATGTCACTTGTGACTCTAATTATGTATAGTTTATTATCGCCCTGTTCTACATAATTTATTATTTCTGGAATATCGCTATTATCTTCCTGTGTAAAAACTGAGAGGAAGTAAGTGTTAAAAATTGAACACATTTCCTTATCACTGTCGGTGAGCTGATCCGAGTAACTTTTGAGTGGGCCTAACTTGCCCCTAAACTTCTGTATACCTGAAAGAATCCTTTTGGGTTAGTCTTCAATTCCCTTGCTACTTTAGCCTCATAATCTCGATGGAATTGAAACATGCAGCTCATGTCATTTTGTATTTACGTCTTATGGCTTTTATTCTCTCTGTCATTTATTATTTCGCATCTTCCACACTAAATGACAATGTCAAGCTTTGGTTGCAACTAGAGATGAGTCTCTAAAAGTTAAGCCTCCAATAGTTAAGTCTATAATGGTTGTCAAGTTAGTGGTAACTCTGTCAAGTAGCTTTGACAACTGCTATCACACACATTCACGCGCGCGCGCAAAAACTGAACTCTAGAAAGGAAGAAGAAATTTCTATAGAAATTATGGAAACTCGGCACGATTCCCAACATGATAGAAAGTAGTTCTAAATGTTTTACCAAAATATTATTATATGCAGAGTGATTAAGAAAATTTTAACAGCACATGTTGTGTAACACAGCGGATGACAAAAATCTGTCAACAAATGTAAGAAAGTAGACATTTTCAGGCAATTCGAGTAAAATATGTAAATGAAAGCGGACAACATGGAAATAATTATATATCTTTTCTATACAGTTTCCCAATTAATGCAAGATAATTAAAAATTTTAGAGAGAGACAGAGACAGAGACAAAAAGACAGAGAGAGACAGAGAGAGAGAGAGAAAGACAGAAATAGAGAGAGGAAGACAGAGAGAGAGACAGACAGACTAGACAGTGAGAGAGGGAAAGAGAGAGAGAGAGAGAGAGAGAGAGAGAGAGAGAGAGAGAGAGAGAGAGAGAGAGATAGAGAGAAACAGACAAAAACAGATAGAGATTGAATACACTCTCCAAAAAACCTTAGCACGTATCTTAATCCCACAGAAAGTCACATAAATATGAACATTATGACATGACAGGCAGATGAGGGATAGCATCAGTGATGACGGTTGGGTAGTGGATGAGGATAGTGATGAGACTAGGTGGGGACTGCCAGGGAAGGAAGACGGATAAATGGTTGTATACATTACTGAGGAAAATGATAAATACAACGACAGCTGTCCTAAAAAAAATCACTCCTTTTTATTCGACTTTGCTATTAGGCTATGTGTTAACTGAGGGACCGTAAGGCTACTATAAACTGTGATACATAACATATAAATTGTCGATATAGAAGGAGGGTCAATGTAAGATTGTTTTGTAATGTGTTTTTCTTTACCATGGGATACCGAAGGTTAGCTTCACTGACTTCAGTAAACAGACCTAGCTAGTACCAACCCTTATGGAAGACCATTTGTTACACTTGCTCATCCCGCTACTCAGTACCAAATTAAGAACTAGGCATCCGGACTCCAGCCGGGGAGTCTCACCTAAAGCACGTACTCACAAAACTGGTTTCTTGGAATTCAGGGAGAAAGAAAGAGGCTTTTCAACTAACACTAGCATGTAATTTGAGAAGAAATTTCTAGTAACATGGAAACCAACCCAAAAAAACTTGGTTCCCTGGGGTCCCAGGAGTTGCTTGCCAAGGGGCCGCAAAAGTTGCTACCCCCGGGGCCCCACAAGCTGCAAGATCGTGATACAATTTACTGCTTGCGTCTTCTTTATAATATATTTGTATTTTTTCAGACACCTGTTTTCTAAATTATTCATGTAAAAATATTTTACACGCATGTATTATTTTTTGCAGGGAGGCATTTTGGTGAGTTGCTTCCTGGTGAACCTGGGAATCCGTCTGTACCTTGCACCTGTGCTCACCAAGCTCATCACTATCAAGGTAACTAAAATTACCATCACCTATTAATGTTGCAGTTTTATAACTGTAGTGTAAAGCATCCCTCTGGCAAGACAGTGATGGAGTGAATGATGAAAGTTTTTCTTTTTTCGGGCCACTCTGCCTTGGTGGGAATCGGCCAATGCGCTAGACTTAGATCCAAGCTTGCGCTTGGATCCAAGTCTAGCGCAAGCTGGACTCCAAGGTATTGGTCCAATGTGGGTAGATTGGTAAAACACTGCGTACCTTGTTCCAAGGTTCGTAGGTTCGAGTCTCCTTCAGCCAGAGATCAGTGTTTGTGTATATTGTGTTTGTGTATATTGTGTATTGCGAATTCCTTGCATTGTTAATATCTCTAGTAAGGCAGGGGATGAGATGAAAAGCTGTAAGCCTTCTCCCTGAAAGCTGGCTGCCTTGGATCAAAGTATAGCGCAAGCTGGATTCCAAGGTATTGGTCCAGTGTGGGTAGATTGGTAAAGCACTGCGTACCTTGTTCCAAGGATCGTAGGTTCGAGTCTCCTTCAGCCAGAGATCAGTGTTTATATATATATATATATATATATATATATATATATATATATATATATATATATATATATATATATATATATATATATATATTTTATTTATTATTATTATTATTTTTATTATTAACACATCGGCCGTTTCCCATGAATGCAGGGTAGCCCGAAAAAGAAAAACTTTCATCATCATTCACTTATCACCGTCTTGCCAGAGGCATGCCTACACTACAGTTATAAATATGCAACATTAACACCCCTCTTTCAGAGTGCAGACACTGCACTTCCCATCTCCAGGACTCAAGTCCGGCCTGCCGGTTTCCCTGAATCCCTTCATAAATGTCACATTGCTTCCACTCCAACAGCTCGTCAAGTCCTAAACACCATTTGTCTCTATTCGCTCCTGTCTAACACGCTCACGCACGCTTTCTGGATGTCCAAGCTCCTCGCACACACAACCTCTTTTACCCCTCTCTCCAACCTTTCCTAGGCCGACCCCTACCCCGCCTTCCCTCCACTACAGAATTGTATATTCTCGAAGTCACTCCATCCTCTGTACACGTCCAAACCATCTTAATAACCCCTCCTCAGCCCTCTGGATAATAGTTTTGGTAATCTCACACCTCCTCCTAATCTGCTAAGCTATGCATTCTCTGTATTATATTCACACACCACAGTACCTTCAGACATGATGTCTCCACTGCCTCCAGCTATATCCTTGTTGCAAAATTCACAACACATGCTTCACACCCATACAAGAGCATTGGTGTAACTATGCTCTCATACATTCCCCTCTTTGCTTTCATGGATAGAGTTCTTTGTCTCCACAGACTGCTCAGTGCACCACTCATCTTTTTCCCCTCGTCAGTTCTATGATTCACCTCATCCAGCAAGCATGCATGAGTGAATGGAGACAAATGGATTTTAGGATTTGACGTGCTGTTGGAATGATAGCAAAGTAACATTTATGAAGGGATTCAGGGAAACCGCAGGCCTGACTTGAGTCCTGGAAACGGGAAGTACAGTGTCTGCACTCTGAAGGAGCGGTGTTAATGTTGTAGCTTGATAACTATAGTCTAAGCGCGCCTCTGGCAAGGCAGCAATGAAGTGAACGATGATTCAAGTTTTTCTTTTTTGGGCCAGCCTGCCTTGGTGGGAGAAGGCCGATGTTTTAATATATATATATATATATATATATATATATATATATATATATATATATTATATATATATATATATATATATATAATATATATATATGCTTAACAATTCGCAAACAGGCTAAATTATTTACATTATCTCTACGTCCACAGCAGGACTCGAACCTGCTAATTTTGTATCAGAGTCCACAGTACTTTACCACGATACGTATGAGCGCTTAGCCGAAGCTAAGCGATGTTTCCCCATACCCCTGGGCACCAAGCTCGTTTTGAAGGTTATTTCATCGAATCCTGCCACATGTTATGGACAACGAAAGAGATTTGAAATGCTTAAGTCCTGCTGTGGACGTAGAGACATTGTTTGTAAATAATTTCGCCTGTTTGCGAATTGTTAATCATTTCAAATCTCTTTCGTTGTCCACTGCATGTGGCAGGATTTGATGAAATAACTTTCAAAACGAGCTTGGTGCCCGGGGGTATGGGGTAACATCGCTTAGCTTCGGCTAAGCGCCTATACTTATCGCGGGTCTAGCTCCGTGGTAAAGTACTGTGGACTCTGATACAAAGTTAGCAGGTTCGAGTCCTGCTGTGGACGTAGAGACAATATATATATATATATATATATATTAAATATATATATATATATATATATATATATATATATATATATATATAATACGCCACCCTTTCTGATTATTACTATAATTTGTCTAAATATTAAGTAGACTAACACTGCAGAACTGTAGATTCTGATTGCCAATTTCTTTATCCCGACAGATTGCCATAGAGCGTGAGGCAGGTCTTGGCCATGAGGTGGGCACTAATAAGCCGGGGCGTCTGGCTCATTGTCCACATTACATGCGACTCTATCGGGCCTTCCGCCGTACTCACATGATCATTGCCATTGGCAACATGGTCTCTATGGCGGCCACCTCTCTCCACCTCTACTACCTGGCCACGAAACTTTGCTCCGTGCAGCTGTAAATTATATAAAAAAAATGTCTTACTCGCCTCACACACATGGATGATCCTAACGGTATCCAGAACCTTCATCAATTAAGATTTTTTATCTAGTAACATGTTACCTAGGGGCCTAGAATGCTATGAGCCTCTCTTATTTCTACTTGATCCTGCCTCTGGTGGCAGGCGTATGCTTTCCCAAGAGCCTCTGCAACATTGGCTGGTCCAAGGCGGAGTTCGCGATAATCGCGCCTGTCGTAAGTGACTTCCTGAGGATGTTCCAACGTGTTCTCAACTGCAGTATTTAATGGCTACCTCTTGCCCTATGGTTTGAATCTACTTCCAATTTCAAACAGCTCACAGTTCTCCCAGCAACACCACAGGCAGTAGTGATATATGCCGCTGACTCCTCTAGCGTCATCAAGTGCCGCTGACACCAAGGGCAGAAATACCACCAGGTGATTCTCCAGACCTCAAGATCAAGATACCCTTTAGGATACTCTTAGTCTTGTTCATTCTTAACCTTGAAAACACTAGTGAGTTCTCTTTTGCTATGCTGCCAGACAAATTATGTTTTATGGAGTGGGACTGTTTTATTGACTGCCAGTTTAAATGTTTCTAATGTGACAAGGTTACTCACTGGTTTCTTGTCCGTGGTTCCTTCACTCACAAGATAGTACAGTGTTTCCTTGCAAATTGTAATTTATATATTTGTTTGTGATATGAATGATAAGTGTGTACAGTAGGTTGAGAAAATTGCTGTATATGGCTTTCGTAAAGAAAAGTAAATTATGCGTCCTGATGTACCCTGAGATTTCATGCGAGACTTTGTTGATTTGTTGTCTGAATGAATCTGGTGAAGACGTAATGACTTAGTCTCACACAGCCACAAGGATCTGATCTGCAATGTACATTACATGTACAGTATATATACGGAGAACACACACAACATACTTATAGAGCACACATACACACACACACACACACACACACACACACACACACACACACACACACACACACACACACACACACACACACACACACACACACACACACACACGTACGCTCACTGGTGTTTTTCGGGCATTATTTATTTTACACTTCTTAATAAACCAATTCATGAAACTATGGAACAATCCACATATTAAATAAATAAAAAAGAAAAAAACCTCGTTTTTCAGTACAATCTGTAATTAAATTTTGTTTCATATAGAAATGTTTTATAAAGTTTAAATTAGTTAAATATTGTCTTCTAACACACTGAGTTGTGCCTTTCACGTTACATAATTTTCAGCGTCTGTATATATGTTAATTACTACAGACTCAAGTTAACTAAATTGAAGTTAAATTGTGATAATCGTAGAGTAAGTCGAATACCTCACAGTGATCACTCGAAGTTAGAACCCATGACAAGTAGGTTCTAACCCCACCTGTACCATGGTCAGAAATTATTCTCCCTGCTGGTTTCAGGTCATAACAGATGGCGTTAGCCACTAAGTCATTAGCTTAATATTGCCCAACTTATTAAATCAAGAGAGAAAGAGAATGAACTTAATGCAATAAAGGGATTTTTGCATTAATAAATGGACCGGAAAATATCTACACATAATATACGTGCTATGTATTTAAAAGTATATTTAAATACATTTAAAGTCGTCATGATTGCAGTTACTTATACGACAGTAGTATGTAGTCTTTTCAGTTTGATTTAATTATTTTTCAATATATTGATTGCTATTGCGTGTGCGTTAGTTTACATACTTCCGAAAACCTCTCATTCAACCATTTATTCTCTGTATTAACATTTGTCTTCCAAAACCTTTCGTATTCTTCAGTGCATTTAAATCTTATAAAAAATTATTTCTTTTTACTTTTCCTCATTATTATTATTATTATTATTATTATTATTATTATTATTATTATTATTATCACATTTGCTAACGTCTCACAATTCCTAGTCGCTAGTAGTTAATTAGTTATATTTATTTAACTTGTACAATTTATTATTTTATTAAAACAGTGACCATATTTTCCAGCTTCTCAATAAATCCTGAATTATTTAATTTTAAACTATGCAATTGTTTATTCCCTCCCTCCAACACACTTTTGTTCCCACTCACGTTTATTCCCTCCCTCCAACACACTTTTGTTCCCACACGTTTATTCCCTCCCTCCAGAATATTATTAACATCGGCAGTCTCCCACCGAGACACGGTGACCCGAAAAAGAAGAAACATTTTCACCATCATTCACTCCATCACTGTCTTGCCAGAGGGGCACCGATACTACAGTTCAAAGCAGTTAACATCCCCACCCCTCCACATTGCAGGTACTGTACTTTCCACTTCCAGGACTGAAATCCGGCTTACTGGTTTTCCTGAATCCCTTCATAAATATTACCTTGCTCACACTCCAACAGCACGTCAAGTCATAAAAACCAATTACCTCCACTCCTTTCTAAGATCCTCACACACGCTTTACTGGATGTCTTAGCCCCTCGCACACAAAACCCCCTTTACTCTCTCCATCCATCCTTTCCTTGGACGACACTTACCCCCCACCTTCCCTCTACTACACTTTTATATGTTTTCCTCTCTAAATGTCCGAACCATATCAACAACCCCTCTTTAACCCTAGTAATCCTGCACATTCGTCTAATCTCCAAGCTACGAATTATCTGCATAATATTCACATTGCACATTACCCTCAGACATGATATCTCTACTGTCTTCGGCCTTCTCCTTGCTGCAACGTTTACAACCCATGTTTCACCCCCATATAGGAGCTTTGATACCACTATACGCTCATAAATTCCAATTTTTTCTTCCATGGATAGCGTTCTTTGTCTCCACAGATTCCTAAAAGCATCACTCACCTTTTTTCCTTCGTCACTACTATGGTGTACATCGTCTTTCATAGACCTATCTGCTGACAAGTCCAATCCCAAATATCTAAATAGATTCACTTCCTACATACTCCTCTCCCTCCAATCTGTTATCCAATCTTCCATTACTAAAATTTTTTGTTACCCCTCATCAAACTGTTCCTTCAAATGTTCACTTTTAATTTCCTTCTTCTGCATACCCTACAAAATTCGTGCACCAACCTTTGCAATGTCTTAGAATCTCCCTAAAACACAGTGTTATCTGGAAATAGCATCTGTGATAGCTCCCAAAGTGTATTTGATTCTTTATCTTGTAATCTCACACCTCTTCCCAACACCCCTGCATTCACTTTTTGCACCATCATCTATAAATATATTAAACAACCATGGTGATATCACACATCCCTTTCTAAGACCTGTTTTTACTGGAAAGGAATCTCCCTCTCTCCTACATACCCTAATCTCAGCCTCACTATCCTCGTATAAACTGTTATCTACTTTCAGTAACCTACCGCCTATTCCATACGCTTATATCATTGCTCCAATATCCACAATATCATATGTTTTTTTCCAAATCTATAAATGTAACAAAAGCTTCCTTATCCTTATCTAAAAACTGTTCACTTATATGCTTCAAAGATCTTGCGCTCCGTCCTACACTTAATTCTTTCAATAATAACTACCATACACCTTACCTGGTATACTCAACAGGTTTATACCCCAATAATTCTTACACTCTCTTTTGTCTCCTTTGCCTTTATACAAACTAACTAACGATGCTCTCTACCAATCCCTAGGTATCTTCCTTTCGTTCATACATTTATTAAATAAAAGCACCAAACATTCCAAAACTATATCCCTACCTGCTTTTAACATTTCTACCTTGATACCATAAATTCCATCATCTTTGCTCCCATTCATTTTACCCACAGCCTCATTCACTTTCCTCACACTCACACCTGGTTCTTCCTCACTCCTAAAGGATGCTACAACTCCCTGCTCAATGCATGAAGTCACAGCTTCCATCTCTTAATCAACATTTAACAATTTATCAATATTAAGTCGAACTTCTCTATACCTTCTACTCACTATCTAATAACTCTCTTTTTCTGCTTTTAACTATCAAATCCATTTGTTCCCTAGGCTTTCTTAACTTACTTTTCTCCCAACCTTCTTACTCTCAGCAAAATTTTGTTGACAGCACCTCCCACACTCATTTGCTTTCCATTTACATTCCCTTCCTAGTATCCCATTTACCTTTTACTCTCACTGTAGCCGCAAATAAAAAATTATCTGAAAAATATGGTGCCCCTCTATAAATATGCACATACAGAAGTCTACACATTAATCTTTCATCCACTAATACATAATCCAACAGAGTATTGTTATTACGAACACAGGTGTAGTCTTCTGGCCTGCACACCTGGATGTAGCACGATAACCAAGGTAGAAATGAGGAACGATCAAAAGACAGGTTGTGAGTAAATACTAACATTTCCTACACCAAACAGCAAGCAGTTATATGTACAATATTTACAGAGGATATGTACAGAAAGGCAATTTTCAAGCCAGAGACTCGGTGAGAACTGTTTAATAATAATAATAATAATAATAATAATAATAATAATAATAATAATAATAATAATTAATAATAATAATAATTAATAATAATAATAATTAATAATAATTATATATTAATAATAAATTAATAATAATAATAATAATTAATAATAATAATAATAATAATTAATAATAATAATAATAATAATAATAATAATAATAATAATTAATAATAATAATAATAATAATAATAATCTATCTTTACTACAAGTACATGTACAAGATGTACAGTCCTACTTGACATGAATGACATGCTGCTATATAGAAAGCCGCTTGTTAAGCAGAACATTTCTGGGAAATTACGTCAGTTTTGTCTCAGGATGCGACCCACACCAGTCGACTAACACCCAGGTACCCACTTTACTAATGGGTGAACATAGACAAGCAGTGTAAGGAAACACGTCCGATGTCCCGCCCCTTCACCGGGAATCGAACCCGGACACTCACCGTGTGAAGCGAGTGCTTTTGCCACCAGGCCACGGGGCACGGTACCAGACTTGGAGGTAAGTCTACCATTGTTGATTTACAAGTGTCCCACATCACTTCACAACTCTGGCGGGCTTCCTTGTCACTGGCTGGTTGAACCAAGGTGCTAGCATATGTAGGGGGCCCACACTCATTAAATCTCTATCACCTGGTTCACTGGTCGGAAGAGCATGCCTATATACGCATGTGACATACGCTGAATAAAATGTAACGTGCTCTTAGGACGCCACAATTGTCATCACACCCTATATTAATTTCGTATACTTATCCTATTTTTCTAAAAATATCTATTACCTATTATCAGACCTCTTTCTGGTCAGAGACCTGGCCGCGGGGGGCGTTAACCCCCGGAACCCTCTCCAGGTACACACAGTTCAAAAGCCCCCATTATCATTTACCCCTGCTACCCCAAAGGTACTTACTAGGCTCTCTGCAGCCCTCTCTCCCACTTTAGCATTCACGTCTACTACCTCAATTTCTCTCACTTGATTCAAAACTCCCTAAACACTCGCTTAACATCTCCCAAAAAAGCCCACTTTTCGCATCCTACCCTTATTTTAATCCATATAACCCTTGAACTTATAAATCTATATTCCTTCTTTACCTGCCATAGCTGAACTTTCAACATTATTATTACTGCATTCTTAGCTTGAACTCTCTCAGATATACCTGTACCCCGTTCAGCGCTTTCATGCCACCAGACTGGTGTTTAAGGATGGTGGCCAAGTGGACAGAGTGATGCGTACTTTGTTCAGTTCAAAAAGGGCTGGGCATTGGAACGCAGGATCGAGTCTTGGCCAACCCGCAGTTCTGTTAACGATCAAAAATCACTTGTTTTGCGATTTCATATATTATATAATATATATATATATATATATATATATATATATATATATATATATATTATATAATATATATATATGGGTAAACACACAAGATCTCAGGTACATCTTGCTACTTCTACTTAGAATTAGGTCACAGTACTCATTCATGTACAAGCATATATATATATATATATATATATATATATATATATATATATATATATATATATATATATATATATATATATATATATATATATATATATATATATATATATACACCCACCTGGGTTTTCTTTTATTTTCTTAATAGTTCTTGCTCTTATTTATTTCCTTTTATCTCCATTGAAAGCAGAAAAGAATTTTTCCTTTGTAAGTCATGTGTGTCTTAAGAGGCAACTAAAATTCTGGGAGCAATAAGCTAGTTTACCTGGAGTTTACCTGGAGAGGGTTTTGGGGGTCAACGCCCCCGCGGCTCGGTGTGAAACCAGGCCTCATGGTGGATCAGGGTCTGATCAACCAGGCTGTTACTGCTGGCCGCACGCAAGCTGAATTACGAGCCACAGCCTGGTTGGTCAGTAGCCCCTTCTCCTGTATACATTACTATATATACTAGTAAAACCTTTCGTTTTTCTTTTCATGAGATCCTGCCTCGGTGGGAGACGGGGCCGGTTCGTTGGAAAAAAAAATATTGATAACTAAGATGTAATGAGCACTTGTCAGTGTTCAATAATAACATTCATGGATACCAAAACACGGAAGAGTAATTGGTCTGTATATTTCGATCTCCTTCTGGGATCGTCTTCAGACGTTCTTTTTACTCCTTTTGATTGTACAGTAAAATAAGAAGAAAAACTTAATATTGTCCTTTGAGAACTAAAGAGACAAAAATATTTTGGATACTGATAATGATACTATATATAGTTCCGGTGTTTCTCATGGTAATAGTATAAACATCTGGGCCTTGGATTCATTACCAGGGTAAATGTTCCAGAACACTTGCTCATTGAACAGTGGTACTTGAAAAGGGTAATGCATACCATGTTCACATGCACATGATTAATGACCATACGAAAGCCCTTAACAATGACATCACTTGACCTTAAATAAGTTCATGCCAGCCTTGCATGAAATCTATGGTTCGCAGTGTACATACATGATACAAGGACATGACTTTACCTGTGATGACATGGGAGTGATGTGGCTTCCTTTGG